AAGAAGACACAGTGTTCTTGCTTCTAGCATTAACACGGCTTGTGCGTTCAGCACTTTTTTCCCCTGTTATCATGTGACAGGCTATTTTTAATATTTGCCTGAATATATTTTGCATCTTCCTTTGATCCAGAAAGCAGTTTTGTGAGGCTTGGCTGCATATTGCATTTCCCTTGCCGTGGTAGTCCGGAGCAAAGCTTTTCCATTTCACTGCAATTTCGTCATCGGCTGGTAATGGCAGGAGCACACAGGCGTGCGTGCGTGCCTGCTGCTCTAGCAAAAGCCATGCTGAGCAGGCTGCACAGGGGACTGCCACGTGCCTAAAGCACATGGTCATGCAGGCAACAGCCATCCAGAGCCTCACGTGAGAGTCAATGTGAAGAGCAGCTCTCGGCACCAGCCTGCCTGGTGGTTTAGCTGGTCATTCCCATGTTGTCACGTGGGAGAACAAAGGTCAGGAAATTCCCAGCTCCTCTTGGTGCTGGAGGTAGAGTCCTTCGACTCTAAGAGAGGGGGCTCACGCTGTGGCTCATGCAACACCTAGTAACTGCTTGTAAACAATGACTAAAGCTTAGGAGAGGATTCCACATAGAAGTTGGCTGCTGGGAATGCTGCCCTTCACGCTACAAAGGCTGTGCTGGAAGAGGAGGTCACATTAAGAAACACAGGGGAAGGAAGACTGCAATAAAGGGAGTGTTGCACACACACCCTTTTGCGGGCTGCCCCCTTCACCAAATCATCCCCAGTATGCAGTTGAGAGGCTGGATGGAGCAAGAACAAACCTCTCCCAGCTGGCTGCTGTGCCTATCACAAACAAAAGTTAACAGAAAAATGCCGAAAAGCACCCAATCACGCCCTGTGTCAATCATTACAGTTCAGTATCTATGTAAGAAGTAAAAGGTAATGGATACTGCGCTCTAGATGAAGTATCTCGGCTGAATAAATAAAACATGGCGTTTAATAAAATCTTTGTGTTCTTGGGGGGGTGGGAGGTGTAAGTACACTTCGCATGGAAACAGTTTTCAGCTTTTTGATTAATGTACCCCTAAATCTTTTTTTTTTTTTTAACTGAAAGTGAAGACTTGCAGATATTGCACATATGTGTATTTCCACAGCAGATTACAAAGCTTGCTTTTCTTTTTTTCTTTCCTTAAATAATCTTTGGCAGATCCTTTGCAAGTAGCCTAAGACACCCAGCCGTCCAGGCAACACAGACTGAAACCACTGTCACAGGAACGCAAAGAATGAGGGAGTTTTTTCAAAGCCTCCGACAGCCCTATCCTCCTTAAGGAGCAGGGAAGTAACAAAACATGGGATATCACTGTGTCAGCAGCATCCCCGTGACATAGCCCTACATCCAAAGCTCTGGTGGCAAACAGAAAATTTGGATCTGAACCACAAAATCCCCAAAACCTTCTAATTAGGATCTTCCACCAGACTTAGCTGATGCTTCTGAACTCTAATTCACTCCGTTCAAACCCTTTACAGTAGCTGCCCCATTCACCCAAATAAGGGCTACACAGGGAAACGAGCCAGGTAAAAGCAACCACCAACTAGTTACCTGCAAAATACGAACTTCCCTTTACATACAAACAGCTACAAATACTCCCAATTCCCTTAAAGGACTCTGCAGTTAACTGGAGATTTATGTTCCACCAAAAACATGGCAGAAGACAACACAAGGTCTGCAACAGATTAAGAACCAAGAAAATGCGTTTGCAGTAACAGGTTACTTTAAAAGCTAGCTTTATAAAACCTGTTTTTCTGAGGGAGACTATGGATTTCAACCAACTAACCAGCATCCAATACAGGGAGAGAAAAGAAGTTTCAAATGCGTCTACACATTACAATGAACAGTGGTCTGCAATACTAAAATAAATCAAAATACTATTTTTTATTAACAGAATTGGTACTGTGAAAAAGAAATAGATCAGATTTCAATCTTGCAACAGCCATTACCCTGTGTCCCTCTTCTTCAAAAAGAGAAACGGTATTTGCTATACGTACATTCCCCGAACAGGAATTTATGGGAAAGCAGGTGCTTGCTTTATTCTTTGCTATAGTCCAGAGAACAGATGATGAACTGGTGAGCCTAAACATTTTTCCATCAGCCAGACAATCCAAGCTGGAAATACAGAACTAAGTTAAACCTATAAGGAAACTTTTTGTTGTTGTTGTTATTTTTTTACTTTTAAGGAAAAAAAAAAGTCAGTGAGGATTTTGTAATCTCACGTTTACCAACAGGGTCAGCTCAGCTTTGCTGAGCCTGATGACACTCCTCAGTGAATGCTGATGCAGATTTCCAGATCTCTTCCAGAGATGGTATAAAATACATATTTGGGCAATACCATTATCTTCTAAAGACAGATAAGGCTTGTATTTCAACACACATGCAAAATTAAATCTCCTTATGCCACTCTTCTATAGACCCTCTACGTCCGAGATACACCACGTACATACGTGAGTCCCATTCGGTGTTCCACATGCACGTGTACATCCTCCCCCGTACACAGTACATGCAGGTACAGGAGTTTTGACCAGCCGGGCATGATAGGCTGATGCTAATGCTGCGGAGCCATTTAAAGTAGGGACATAAGCAGTACGGGATTTGACCCTGCCTTCAGCCAGAGTCTACACGCTCAAACAGGCTTCCATTGCAAGACAAAATTCAGAAGACACAACAACGAAATATTTTTAGGAGAATTACTATCACCTAAAAAATTCAGCTTTCCTAAAAATAATAAGATCACATGGAATTAATTTTTATTGAAATTGTACTATTTGTTCTTGGGGTTATTACAATAACACAAATCACAACAGCCATGCATACTGGAATGGTAGCTCACACCAATTAAAGAAACCTTTCTTCATGTGACAGTTTAAAGAAAAAAGTATTTTAAAAGTCTTAAGATATATTAACCAAAAGGCTCCATTATAATGATTTTAACATTTACCTCCAGACTATCTTTCCTATTTCAAAGCAGCACATTTGCCTCGGCACTTTTATGACAACCTTAAATGCTCATTTTCACTCTTACTAAAAATTTGTTTTTTAAAATATATACTGCCTTATTTTAAAACTTGCTCAAATGCTAAACTCTTAAGATGATCTTCTCTTCAAAACAGATTGTCAAAGTAAGATTTTTACACAGCAGCACATAAAAAGTTCAACAACCTGATGATAAACCAGACTACTGTTAATTAAGTCATAAGTAAAGGGGGGTGGGGGAAGAAAATATTATTTTAAGAAATTGAATGAGCTCCCTTTTAGAAAACACATTTAACCAAAAAATTATATTATTGCTTAAGGCAAGATGGCGTGGGGAAAAAAATACCTGCAAATTTAGATGTTTTATGCTACCCCAAGAGACATGACTTCTTTTGCAACAGTAAAAAAGCGTAGAGAGTTTCTAGTGAGAAAAGTTTGTAACCCTGAGGTGTAAATGGCTCAGGAAAAACTCAAAAAAATCAATGAGTTGAAAAGTCATGCGGACAGCTGATTACAAATAAATTCTGACAGGTGATCATTAAAAGCCTGGCTCATAATCAGGCTCCTCTGAAAAAAAGAATGAGGACAGATTATCTGCTTTTAATTTTACATGTGCATATGCGACAGAAAATGGTGTAGCATATACACGCTATTTTTAAAAACCGGCTAAGAAAAAGCAAGGGGTTTTTATATTCTGCTCTTGCCAACTCCAAGTATATTCTAACTCTGGAAACCCTTATAAGTTATTAGTTAACTATGAAATGCCTTGAAACTGAAATACAAAACAAAGTCAAATCCGTATAAAGTAAAAGTAAGTAAGTGAAATCCACGACTAAACACACACTTCTGACTTGGGGCCAAGGAGTCTGTTGACAGGTTTGGGGTGTTTTGGGGGAGTGTTTTATTTCTTTTTAATGAGAAAGCAATGTTGCAGACTTATAAGACTTCTCTATTTCATCCTGCTCCACAACTTTTGTCCTTCTATTTATTTATTTTGCCTCCTTATCAGATGATTCTGACAATGACTTCGCACGCTGAGCATGGCAAACGATCAAGGAGAAGGGAGAGGAGTGGTTTCCTGCTCCCAAGAGCATGCTTTGCTCTAGCAAACCTTGTGTGAGCAGAAGAGCACAATAAATAAGTCACCCTTGGTCTTTTCTTTCTTTTTTTTTTTTTTAAAGAAAAAAAAGGCAAAGCTCCATGTTTTCCAAACTTCCATGTTGACACTATTCCACTGACCATGACCTCAGCCTTGCTGGTGTCAAGCCAGAGCAGTTGTTCTGGATTCATACTAGTGTCTCTAAAGGGATGATTTCAAGTGCTAATAAACTAATAGAAGACTTCCACTGACATCAAACGTGTTTGAATCATACATTACAATCAGAACTTGGAGTCCACGATGTTTTCTTTGCCTACAGCTCAAGGTGACTATAGATGTAATTTATCAACTCAGGTCAGGGTTACGCTCAGTTTATGCTAATTTAAACAAGATTATAATGCAGTTCCAAAATTTAGTTCCTGCCCCATGTACTGCGGCAAATTTTATTTTGCTCAATAGAGAATAAGATTATGGCCAAAATTTCAAACAGGAAGCATTGTCTTTGTTTTAACTTCAAAATAATTGCCCACTCCTGTGTTCTCACATCAAATATTGGCCAAAGGAATATTCTCTTTCACGGTCCTTCTCCCTGTTCATTTAACACCACGGCACCTACGCATTACTATTCCGTTTGTGGTCTTTTCACTTGCTAATAGCTAGGCTATCAATGAAGAAAGGAAGATCAGCAAGTTTCCTTGGAATTCCCACAGCTTCCTTACACAATTTAAACAAAAATCCCTGTGGAGCAACTTAGCAATAACTAGAGCTATTATTTTTATTTTTTGGAGTGTGAGTGACTTGAATCATATTGGCTCTCTCTAAGCTGCCTGTCAACCATGCAGGGAGAAGTAATTATTTACACTGGGGAGGAGGACTCATGCCAAAATCCATAGGCAGTTCTTAGGTCTGATTTACCTGGTCTGACTGGGCTCTGCATGCAGTTCTGCGACACCATGCCTGGATGGACTGAAGTAGAAGCCCTGCTGCTGAGGTCCATGACAGAAGGTGATGCTGAGGTAGCTTGCTGGAGACCTGACTGGTGCGGGCTGTGCTCGTGCTGGTTTGGGCTGGGTGGAATGCCATTTTCCGAGAGGAATTCTTCCAGGTCCATGTATTCCAACTGGAAAGTGTCTCCATCGTATGGCAGTGTCTTGTCCCATAATGTTGGGCCCAAGAAAGCTGACTGAGGGACTGTGGTACCGGTGCTGTCATCATCTAACTTCTTCTCTTTGTCTTTTTCTTTACCGAATGCTTAAACAAAACACATAATAAAGATATAAGAGCTCAGTAATTAAAATATTAGCTACTGCTACTTCAATTATTTCTGCTGCACTCTCAGTTGTAAGAAATGAATACTCCCTTCATAAAAATAACTCCTTTGATTCACTCTGGCAGAGAATTGACAGGGCAAGCCAGTTGAGCACCTTTGCTGGATCCAACCATGTTTTTGAGATTTTCTGCTATTTTTAGTTAACAATTCCACTGCACGCATGGCTTTGAATGTCAGCTTCAATAAGTACTCAATAGACTTAAAAGTGAGTGAATATTTAACTTACAGCAAACTGGAAGATGTTGCTGTACTCTGTTGAAAAGGCACAGTCTTAACCTAAAATCCCCGTAATTTATTATCCTGTCATACTTCTACATTAAGGTCCCCGTCTTGCTAGTCCTTACACAAGGAAAATAGTCCTCAAATTCACTTCTTAACGTTACTAACTTACAACAATGGTGAAGTCTGACAGAATATGTATTTTGACGTGCAGAAAAGCTAACAAAAAATTCAAAAGTAGAAGCAAAGCAAAAAAAAAAGTTAAAATGATGCTTCCTACTCATTCCTACAATATCCAGTGATTTCAACACACATTTTTGAAGGGAAACACCTGGTTTCTCTAGAAGATTTGCAAGGATCTGAACCGATAAAGCTTTCTGCCAACCACCATGCCTTCTTAACGTTTTCTTTTTAAGCACATGCAACAAACCCGGTGAAATCCTGCGAGTCCCTTTGCAGTGAAACTCGGAAAAGCTGAGGACACAAAACGCCTTGGCTCTGCAAGACCTTTCACAGGGTTTTGTTTTTAATGTGCATTTGATTCATTGGAAATACAAGGTGCAATTACGTCCGCACCGCCTTAGCTCTCCAGAAAAGTTGCAACTTTCTACTGTCAAAACGCCTTTCAGTTATTACGGGACCAGGTTTCACGGAAGGTGGTTTTTAAGCGGCGGGCAGGACGGAGCAGCTGGCCGCCCCGAGGGGAGGCTGCGGCGGGGACCCGGGCTCCGCGGGGGGGGGGCCGGCCGCCG